TGGCCCAGCGTGACAGCGTCAGTAAGGCTCTTTGCATAAGCTCAGAGATCGTAGACGGAAATTTTCCGGAGATCAATATCACCACGTCGTCCGCGTAGGCTACAACTTTGATACCTAACCCGTCCAATTCCCTCAATATGATATTAATAACCAGTAGCCATAGTAACGGCGAAAGCACCCCTCCTTGAGGTGTGCCTCTAGTTACCGTTTTCCTGATTTTTGCATCCCTCACACTTGAATTTATAATACTGATATTAAGCATTTTATCTATCCAATATGTCAGGGTATCAGGAATGCCAACTTCCCGAAGTGAGTGGTTTATGGATTCAAGTTTAACGTTGTTAAAGGCTCCCTCTATATCTAAGTAGGCAGCCAGCGTAAAATTTGAATTTTCCATGTTCCTCTCAATGTAGCCTACCACTTCGTGCAGTGCAGATTCCACAGACTTGCCCTTTATATATGCGTGCTGTGAGTTGCTAAGAGAGGTGGTGTCTATACGACTCCTTATCTCCAGATCGATCAGTCTTTCGAGAGTCTTGAGGAGAAAGGATGATAGGCTAATGGGTCTATAGTCTTTACCTCGTTCCATAGATCCGGAACATACGAGAGAGTCAGACACGCAGTGTAAATCTTCTCAAGAATCAGATAAATACTTGGTGAGGCATATTGAAGCATCGCCGGTATGATACCATCCGGTCCTGGCGATTTATACGGCTTGAATGTGTTGACCGCCCATCGTATCTTATTTCTGTTAATCACCTTGCTAATGAGATCCAGATCCGGAGTGACGAAAGGCCATGGGTACCATCGACGGTGATCGTGATGACACTCGGCCTTTCGTCACTCCGGATCTGGATCTCATTAGCAAGGTGATTAACAGAAATAAGATACGATGGGCGGTCAATACATTCAAGCCGTCTTTGCAACCCGGAAAATGAGTCTCGGCTAGGAGATTTAAAGTCTCAGAACCTGAGTCCGTCCACGCTCATCCTGTTTCTTAATACTACCGATGTACTTCGGATCCTTGGATAGTAGTTTTCGAAACCTAGCAGCGTCGTTGACTCCTTCTGTAGACTCACAGAAATTTACCCAAGACTTTTTCTTCGCGCGTTTTATCTCACTCTTGCCGCATACTATAAGACCTGAAACCACTACTTACTTAGCTGGCTTGTTACAGAACGGTTGTTCCATAAGCCGAGCTTAAAAAAGATTTCCAAGCGCGTCGGTCTTGTGCGCAAATCCACCAATTTGGAATACCACGTTCCAAGATGTTGTTTTCTACTTGGTCTTTTCATCTAATTCGTGGCCTTTCCCTTCTACGGGAACCATCAATAGGCTCGTTTTATATGCCTTTTGAGCTGGGGCATTCTCATTCATTCGCACAACATGGTCTAGCCACCGTAGTCGCTGCAGCTCAATACGATTGACTATGTCGATGTCCACGTATAAATTGTAAAGCTCGTGATTCATTCGACGCCGATATTCACCGTCAACGCAGATCTTTCGGGGAATTTTTCTTTCAAACACCCCAAGAGCTGTCTCATCTGCTTGTACCCATGCTTCTGATCCATATAATAGCACGGGTAGTATCAGCGTCTTGTAAAGTGTGAGTTTGGTCTGGCGGGAGGTGGTCTTGTTTCTAAACTGCTTACTTAGACCATAATAGCATCGGTTGGCCATCACAATCCTTCTCCGAATTTCAAAACTAATGTCATTCGTTTTATATATGGCGGTACCAAGGTATATAAAGTCTTTAACTACCTCGAAGCTGTAGTTCTCAAGTTCCACACTTGGTCCGAGTCTACTGGACGTCTTGCGCGTTGATACCATCAGCTTGGGTTTTTCGCCGTTTACTGCCAGACCCACTTTGGCAGACTCCTTTTCAATTTGTTCAAAGGTGGCTGTTACCGCTCGCACAATTCAGGTCAGTATCCCCCAAATACCGCATTTAATATGTCGGATATTTGTATTGAAGTTCCAACTTGTGACACTAAAGTCTTTTACGGAAGTTATGAAGAAGGGCCAACATTTGGAGATATGTTTACGGCCATTTACGGTAACCATCCCAGACTCACCCCAGCTCAAAAACTTTACCATTTGCGTAAGAAAACTAAGGGTGAGGCTGGAAGAATTGTAGATCGTTATGGGAACAATCGCTCGAGTCCCATTCAGAGCTCCCAAAATGGTCAAAAATTGAACAATTTTTAAGAAAAAGACATCAAGTTCTATAACGAATTTATGCACTTAGAACACAACCTTCATTTACTGCGCATCAAAATGCACAAACGACATACACAAATAGATGTGTTATGTGTGATAAAAACCACATTCTCAAGAATTGTCCGAGATTTAACAATATGGCAGTGAATCACAGAATTGAATTTGCTCGTGAAAACATGTTGTGTAATAATTGTTTGAAGAGTGGACATAATTCAAGAGAATGTTTCAGTGCGCTTAGATGTTTATTCTGTAAGAAAAAACATCACACTAAGTTCCATATTGAAAATACATAACAATTACCTACAAGAACGGACTCAGCAAGAATTGGTTAACAAAGTCCTCCGTCGGGAGCAAATATACAAACAATGTCGCATGTCATGACAGATGACATGCCAAGTACATCCAATGCTGCAGTACAAATGTCAAGTGTAGAGTCAAATCTATCAATGTGTGACGATGATGTATTGTTACCAACGGCACTTGTAAAAATCAAGTGTAATGAAACAACATTCACGGCGAGAGCATTATTAGATACATGATCTAAAAGATCATTTATAACCAGCAAAATGGTAAACCGACTAGGTATGTAACAACAAGTAAAACAAATGTCAACGTTAGTGGATTTAGTGGGTCAGTGGTTGAACACACTAATAAAACCTGCAAAATCACTTTGTGTGGAAATTCAAAAAATATGATAAATGTAAATGCTTTAGTAATACAAAGCCCAACAAGTAAAAATCCCACTGAATCTATTCCAATATATGTCCGAAACGAAATACGAGATTTAAAACTTGCAGATCCTGGATTCCTAAAATCAAATGAGGTTGATATGTTAATCGGTAGCGATGTATTACCATCCATAATATTGAATGGAACTAAAACAAATATCTTTGGGAGTATGATAGCTCAAAATTCAATATTTGGGTGGTACATTTACAATTTTGTCGTAGGACCAAAATTTTAGAGAATTCTAGGCAGAGACAAGCAAATTTCAGAAGAAAACCATAAGAATATTTTTATAAGCCAAAATAAATTTAAAGTGCCACACCAGCAATAAAGTAATAAATTGAATGAGCAAATGTGAAATGTAGAATACAAGTCCTTTCGTCGGAATTGGAACTTGAAAACATATTTGTAATCTTAAATTAATAAAAGTGATTAAAAAATGATATCTTTGGCGATTATACAAGTATGTGTAATGGATATATTGTGAGAATTGAAAGAAATGTTGATGTAGTTTGTTGAGAACAAACATTGTGTCGCAGACACATTTTCTGGTGGTGATGTAATGGCAAATCAACCGCTTGGAAGAGCTTGTTTGAAAATGTTTGATGAAATTCGATTTCTTAATTTCACTAAAAAGAAGTTTTCGACTTGAGGTGGAAGATTATAGTAAAAAATATGTATAACCGCTGGAGGTGGCTAAAGAGGTGATCAAGTTTAATAACATAGATCCCTCGAAGAATGAAATTGGATTAAAAGATGAAATTCACTTGAGGTGATAAGAAATATGTAAAAAGTCCAGTAGAGGTAACTACGAAGCTGATCATAATTTTTATTCAATATATTGATCCCTTCAATATAATTTCCACTAGAGGTGGTCGTTTGTCACTAGAGGTGACTAAACGAAAATTAAAAAAAATGAATGAAACAATAAAAGAGAAATAATTTAAATAAATTAAAGTCAATTTTACTAATGCCATATTGAGCATGGCGAATTTTCTTCCTTCAAGTATATTTTGCAGAGAGTTTGAATAATTGATGGTATGAAATTGAGAATGGATGAGAAATGTCCAAGAATGGAAATTGCTATATTGTTGCACCCGTGCAAGCGGCCCGGAATGTTGAGGTTTCATCGATTATGTCATCGATAAGTCTATTTATCGGTACCTCAACTATTACATATCGTCATCAGAGAAGAACGATCCCTAAGGAAGAAGAAGCAGAAAGAAACAATAATTTGCCGCTAAAACGTTAAGAATTGTTTTAAAAAGAATAAAACATTAATTCAGACCGCCAGAGTCTTTAAATTAAACAAGTGTTTTATTTTACCAACCACCACCAGTTTCTAATTAGCAACACGTAAATATCGCCTGTATACTTGTTGTGTTGTCTAATATTCATATTTATTGTTGTTCGTCTTTGTGCAACAAATACTTTCGGCACTAAAGCTACTCTGTAGATTTAGAACTCCTACAAGTCCATACGCCTGTATCGGAACTTGTACACAGAGTTTTCAGGTGTTGTAAATTTTATATAATGCATCGCTTTTAATCTACAAAAATTCTTGGAACCAATAATAATAAATCAACTTCGAGAAACAGTATGTATTCCTACATTTTAGCTGATGTATCCGGGGATGAAAAGCTGCACAAGATGTTCGAAAAATTCCATTCCTGCTTCGAGTCGTTCAATATTTTTTTTAGTGTAATTTGGTTTGTTACTTTTTGCAATAATAATCCTTGAGAGAAAAACAATTCTCTATAAAAACACAAATTACAAATGTCTGTTTTTGTTATAAATTCTTGGTTGTATTTCAGCATTAATAAAAACTAAAAAGGATATTTCACTAAAACTAATTAATTTCTATTACTAAATTATGACTTTGGATATGAAACCAAAAACAAATGTGAATATGAATAATATTTCATATCTGATGAATGTGAAAAGGGGGAGCTACTTTTTTAAAGAACCTCCCAATTAGAAAAAGCAAAATTAAAACGAACAACATGAAAAAATTACATTTTTGTCATGGTTTTATAATGCTAAAAATAAACAGCTTAATCACTTTTTGTTGTTGTCGGTGTAGACGTGCGACTTAGTGGATTTAATGTGATTATCTTCGGTGAGGTTTGTATTGTTGTGCTAGAGGTCGATGACGAAGGTTCCGTTTCTGTCGATGTGGGATTAACCGCAACAAGGCTACTAGGAGGTACTGGCGATGAAGTAATCGTTACACCAGGAGATACCCCTGTAATGGTAGTTGACTTAGTAGCCGCCACTAAGTTTACTAATTTTCGAACAGTGAGATTACGATTCAACAGCTGACTGGTCAAGTGTGGCGGCAATTGTTTAAGTCCGCCAGGCTTCACCACAATGTTGCGTATTTGGGGTTTGTCCGTGGATATAAGTGTGGCATTGGGATTATTGATTATTTGTATTTGTGGCAAATTCTTTGTTTGAACATTAAGTATACCAGCCGAGGAACGTGTTGGTGTTGTTGTGGGAGAATTTGATGTAGATGAGGCGGAACTTAATGGTTGTATATTGATTTTCTTTACCGTTGATGCTAATGGAGATGTACTACTGGTGCCAAGACCGGTGCTGGTTAAATGTGCCCCCGCTCTGGGTATAATTGAAGCACCTGTTGGAGATTTAGAATTCGTCACCACAACTTTGGTATATTTGGGGATTTGTTGAGGTAAACTTGTACGCGATATAATGCTGGGACAAGGTTTCATGGTATTGCGATTGATAAAGACAACCTTGTTGGGTTTATTGGTACCCAATTGTTGTGGTTGTATTATGGTACCGGGTTTATTTATAACATATGTACCACTGCCGCTGGTTGAACCACCACTGGTGGATATGGTTGGTGCGTTTGCCTCTTTGATGATTTTTTGACTAATTATTAATTGGCCAACACCTGACGAAGCTAAGGGAGAGAAATGAATTAGCAAAAGTCAGTGTATGCAATTGCATGTTTCCTACTAACCTGGTTTAATAGTTGTAGTAGCTGGTTTTGTTTCCACACCTTCTGAGATATTTCCCTCATTGTCGGCAAACACAATTGGCATATCAATAATATTCGATATATCCAGATTACTGGCTGAGGTTGATGGCGATGCAGCCCCCAATGATGTTGTTGATCCAATGGGATGCAATGTCTTGGCCGTGCCGGACAATTGTAGAGTCGTGTTTCCAGTCGTATTCTTAATAACTGTATATTTTGGTTGACTACCCACAGCTGTGGCAAATTGTGTTGTCTGACCCGTCGGAGTTTTAAGGGTAAATATGTGTTGACCAGTACTTGCTGTACTAGGACTTGTGGTGACAATGCTACCAATACGAGGTCCTCCCGATAACACATCACCTTGATTTTGAGCCACTATCGATCCCGTTTTAATGGTGTAGATTTTTGATTGTGATTGCAGTGTTGTTGGTTTTAATTGTACAAATTGGTTTGATGGTATCATTTTGATTTTAGTACCAATTGAAGTCGATGTATTGCCACCACCTATAACCAATTGTTTTTGAGGGGCATTTATGACTGTGGTCTTTAGTGGTGTTGTCTTACCCGACTGAGTAACCAACTCAAAGTTTGTCACCAACTTGTTGGAGTTGGAATCATTACTGATTGTACTCATATTCAAACTGGTATCGGCATCATTTGGATCGGACATAACAGATTTCATTGTCATGCCGAGATCATCATTTGTTGTCGACACTTTTGTTATTTTCGGTTGAGTTTTACCAATCATTACCGGTGTTGAAGTGTGTATTTGGTTAAGTTTGCCTGTAGGTGTTGTGCCCGTAGAATTTGGCAAGGGTCGTGTACGTGGTCTGCCTACTGTTCAAGGTAAGAGAATAATATTTGTGGTTAAATTTGACAAACAATGATATGGAGTATATGGAGGCAAAAGGTAAATTTGTTAAAAAAAAAACATAAAATGCAAAAATGGGTTACCCTTTCTTTTGACTTGAAAAGGATCTTGAATTTTTGGTTTCTTGATAGATTTTGATTTCTTATCTTGTGGTGAAATAAAATCATAAGTTGTTGTTAGTAATTGTGAACATGCCCCTCGATATTGAAACTTACCCAAATGTTTTGTTTTTGCTGGAGTACCATCCGAGTCCATTGTATCATTTTTACGTTTACGTTGCTGCCCTGCACTCTTCTCGCCAGCCAATGATTTATTTTGTTTATTATAAATGCTACTACTAATCGAAGTGGGTATACGTGGTCCGGGAGGATTTGTTAAGACTTTCTTAATGAAATCGTATACCTCATCGACAACCATGGTATCGACCATAGCTTGGGTAACATTTTCAATTTTTCGCCTTGATTTGGGTACCCTTAAGGCATCATCGGCACTGCCAACAACAACTAAAGATGATTCAGATTGCATTTTTTCACGCAAAGATTCAATTTCTTCGGGGCTGAAAAAGAAAAAAAAGGTGGGCATTATTAAAAAAATATTTAAATAAATTAAAGTTTCATTCTGCTCTTACCTTGATCTGGCTGAATTTTGTCCAATAACAAAAAGTATTGGTACTTTGATATCTAAAATACGATCATCAGGTGTACCACGTACCCCATTGTAGGTATTGTAGGCAAAACCCATACAGACAATACAAGCCACATTCTCCGACATGCCCACTTGTAAAGCCAAAGATGCTCCAGCATTAAAGCCAATCAATATTATGCTACGTTGTGGATTTTCATTGCGCAATTCAAGAATTTTAACACGAGTCAATGAAACTATTTGCTCCGCTACTTGTTCCAGTGGTTGGCGGGAAATATGGCCACCTAAAATCAAAAATAAAACGGTGCATTAAAGATATACACATTTTTTATAAGGAAATAACAATAACAACAAATCTTACTTGTCATGGGTAATGTGACTTGCACAATCTGTGTTATGGTTGCCAAATGTTGATACCATTTCTGTAAACGATTTGGTACAGGACCACTTGTAGGCATTGAAGGCAACGCCACTATTATCGAATTCTGTGGCAATTTTCTTGTTTTAGTTGCAATTTGTGGTTCCCATTTCTTTTTCAATACAGGCGCCAACAGCTCTTGACTTATATTGAGCGGTCGTCCAAACAACATTTTATCCATTAGGGTGGGTAATTTTGATTTCAGAGTTTGCAAGATATCCAAATATGAAGCCATATAGGTTGCGGGCAATGAATCCATTAGCAAGCAATGCAACCATTGAGTTAATCGTGATTCCCAGCCAACGGAAGCCAAGGCTTTGCGCATGCGTGCAGCTGATTTATCCACAACAACACGTCGTTGCATTGGTTCATTCGGTCGACCCTGATTGGCTAAACGTCCCAACTGATCATTGTCCAATATGCGTACAACTTTGGCAAATAGATTTTTTTGCATATTTGACCAGCCAATTCTAAAACAAATAAAATAATTTAATTAATCATTGTATTATTATGACCTCACAACTTACTGATTTATTCTCATTTCCCAGTCCTCATCATCAGGATTAATATTTTTAACATATTTTGCAATGCGTGCACATTCATTCATCATCTCCTTGGCTGCAATTTCATTGTACGCGGGTATACAGGCTTGATTGCATTCATTTAAATCTTGTTCATCCAATGGATGTGTATGACACGAGGGACACTGAGGTGGACGACGTACAAGTATGGTCCTTGCCGGTTGCAGGCCATTTGTTATATCTACACTCAAAGATTTAACCGAATTATCACGCATATAGCTATGCTCCATTTTGCCGCTTTCTGTTGATGTATCAGCAGTAGCTGTTGTGCTCTAATAAAACATGAAATGAAAAAGAAAATATTTTTTGTTTGTTAATTTTCATGGCCTATTTGATAAGTTTTTTTTTAATAGCCTACTATATATTATAATTGAAATATTCTACTGAAGTATTGATTTTCTCATCCCATAAGTCTGGGTTTATACATGCAACTATAGTAAGCAACTCTGCTGAGTTCTTAGAAGTGAAAGGTATAAAAGGTGACAAGGGGGAAGAAATTCAAAAAAGATTCGAAGAGAGCAGCAGCAGATTTGCATAAAAAAGTTGCATGTATAAACCCAGACTAAGCAAAACCAGGCAAAACTTTTCAATTATATAAATGGCCTGTAACCGTACTGTAAGAATCTTTAAATGTTTACTATTTATTTTTCGATATTATAAAGGAAATTCAAAGTTAACCCCTATCTCCAGTCACTGAACGTTTTAGTTAATTGTCAGACAACGGGATGTACCCTGAGGTTAAAGAAAACTGTCTTTATACAAGAGCTGAGGGGAGTCTTTCTAGACAAGCTGAAGAGAGTCTTTCTAGACCAGCTGAAGGGAGTCTTTATAGACGAGCTGAAAGGAGTCTTTATAGACAAGCTGAAGGGAGTATTTTTAGTCGAGCCCATGGGTGTCTTTACAGACGAGCTGAAGGGATTCTTTAAAGACGAGCTGAAGGAAGACTTCATAGACTAGCTGAGGGAAGTCTTTCTAGACGAGCTGAAGGGAGTATTTCTAGACGAGCTGAAGGGACTCTTTCTAGACGAGCTAAAGGGAGTCCTTATAGACAAACTGAAGAGAGTCCTTCTAATCGAGCTCAAGGGTGGTCTTTATAGAGGAGCTGACAAAATGCAATAATTCTGTCCCTAACACTTTCCTATTGAAGCCGATTTTTAAATTTAAACATAAATATTTTTAAAATCCAATTTACACTTGATGTTGTCACAATGATGGGTGTTGTTATTGCAGTTCCTGCTGCTAATGATGCTGCTTGTGCTGCTGCTGTTATTGGAGGTGTACTAGTCGATGATGGCGGTGGTGTCCCAACAACCGCTTTAGTTGCCACAATTGTTAATTGTGGTCTCTTGGCTGCAACAATTGCCATATTATAACTAACAGCTTTATCCGTTGACGAGGACGATGAAGTAGCTGCCGTTCCAGACGGTTTTATGATACTTTTCAAATCTTTTAAGGCCACTGTACTGGTCGTTTTCGTTGCAATTGTTATGGGTGTCTTTAATGTAGCAGCAGCGGTGGCGGCCAACGATGCCCCATCCGTTGTTGACGTTGTCCGTGTTGTTATCTGTTTTGCTGTTACAGTGGTATACAATTGTGGAGCAGCTTTCTGTTGTTTTTGTTGTACAGTTTGCGGTTTCGGTATAGGTGTTAGGAAAGTTGATTTTGTTATGGCAATCTTTGGTGCAGACGATTTTAAAATTTCTAGCTTTTTTTCAATACTACTGTCAATGCTGGACTGCATTTTTTTCTTCACTACATATCACAGAAAATGGACTATTTTCAATTTTTATTAAGTATTGTTTAATAACAGCAATCGATTCGGGACAACAATCATGAATTCTTAACAGTTATGCCACTTTTCTATGGGGTTGTCTTTAACCACTAGACAATAATAACGACAACAACAATAAGCATTTGTTTGCAAATTGGATCTAGCATATTTTTTTCTATTTCTGAACTTTTTCACTGTATTTGATTGCGTGTGTTTGTTTGTGTATGTGTACAGAAGAGTGTTGTTGCAAAATATTGCTGCAGTTCCAGGCAGTATTAAACACGTGTTGTATATATATAAATATTAAAACTTAAATATTATCAACTTTAATTTCTATTATATTTTCAACTTTGCATTATAACTTTGTAAATAGTTTTCTGTTTTGTGTTTTTCTGTAGCGTAAATCTACTTGTTCCTTCTTTTCGATTGTATTTTTTTCGCTTTATGAAGCGTCATAAATTGATGTTGCCAGATTGCCTACACAAATAGTAAAAGATTAAAGGAAAGCAATTATGCGAGCACAATTGCTCTCTCCCGCCTTATCTTTCGCACTCTCAATCTCTCTTCCTCTTCTTGGTTTCACACACCAAAAAATCATATAAACAAACATATGTCAAACGGCGTGTTAATTTTACTACTTATTATGAAAAATAATGATAAATAATGCGATAGAAAGAAAATTAACAAACTATGGGCAGGAATACTTACACCGCCATCGTCGTCTTCTTCTTCCAGTTCATTTATTACTCCACTTCTGCCGGGGTCACTCTCCTTCTTTTGTACAAATTCTTCAAACAACTTTATATATGACATTTCACAACAGGTCTATTCCAAATTGGTTGGTGGGGAGAAATGTATTAAAATTGTTGGTATCACCCACAAATACCGCACTTTTATCCAACTTCTTATCAAATATGTTGTGGTAAATAACTCTTACAAACAATTCATAAATCTTCTTCTACAAGCCACTCAATTTCAGCTACCGTCTTCTAGGAGCAAATCACGACGCAAATTGTGAGAATAAGAACGAACTGACGAACGAAACGAACAACTAAAGCAAACTCAAAAATAAGAATAAACCATCAAAACGTATATCTTTGCGCATTCGATTAATGATAATTTCAAAATGCCAAGCACATATTTGTTTAGTTTCTTTTGTTAATACACACTGAATTTGAACTGTTGCACTACGAGAGCGTTTTTTATTTTATCGCCAAGCGGAATTTCTTTGGGTTTTTTTACAGCTCACAAATGAAAACACGATTTTTTTGGCCTCTATTGTGAAATGAATGAAGCTGTCAGTGTCGTGTAGCAGGGTTGTATATACGAAAGAGCGGCTATGTCATACGATAATGGGGGTATTCACCACAAGCAATGCATGGTAGCAAATAGTGAATCGTAACATAGTTACGTAAATGATGCACGTATTAACTAATTTACAGAAGAATTAATTTATTTAGTTTAATTTTTTTGACATATAAGGAAAGGAAATTAAACTGTTTATGATTGTTGCTCTTCACCGAAACCAGCAAGAATTTTCTATGAATTGTCATAATGTAAATTTAACATTACAACATTTGTAATGCGTCCGTATGGCGTGTTTCCGATGTATGCGAATAGAAAATTTTTAAAATTTATATACAAATTGTCTGTTCCCGAACTGCAATAACCTTAAAGTACATTAACATAACACATTAACCGCGTTGCATCTCAGTAGTATCATGATTTCGATCATGGTTTAAAATAAACCCTCCGCACGATGATTTAATTTTGTATGGTAAATCATGGTAAATATAGCCTGATTTAGAAAATACATCGTAATTCGTTCTTTAATCATGACAAAATGTTATATGTAAATCTATGGTACAATAATATAAGGTAGGGCAGCTTGAGTTGTATAAAAAAACAACTATGTAGGTTATGTTCTGCCAAAATATAAAATTAGTATACGCAACAAGTGGTTGTGTTAATTTTGCATTGAAAAATGCATAAAAACGCGAAAATGAATGAAATATTATGATTTATTTCCAAAACCCCATACGGAATACCAAGAAATATTTGTTTCATCCATAACAAAGAAATTATTTCCAGACAGACGCTTTAAAAACATCATTTTCATTTCAATTAAATTTGAATTTATTTCAATTTATTTGACATAGTATTCAAAACAATACACACACATGCACAAAATATGTATTTTGATTTAATGGAGTAAGGCACCTTGAGCAAAAATTGTATTCAGTTGGTAGCTGTGCGCTACCTTGTAATAATTATACCATGTGTAAATCCGTTTTTAAATTTTTTGGTAAGGCTACGTTTAGACTACTAAATCCACTAGATATCAAACGTGTTCTGACGGGCATTTGAACAACGTAGTTCGCTCTCAGAATTGTACACTAATTAGAACCAAAGGGAAAGAAATGCATATTGCATTATGTAGATTACAAAATTTATATCCTTACATGGTATAATTATTACAAGGTAGGGCACAGCTACCAACTGATTACAATTTTTTCTCAAGGTGGCTTGTTCCATCAAATCAAATTACATATTTTGTGTATGTGTGTGTATTGTTTTGAATACAATGTCAAATATATTCAAAATAAATTGAAATATATTCAAGATTAATTGAAATGAAAATAATGTTTTAACACGTTCGTCTGGAAGTATTTATTTTCTTATGGATGAAACAAACATTTGATGGTATTCCCTACTGAATTTTGGGAAGAAATCATAACCTTTCATTCATTTTTTAGTTTTGTGTTGAAAAAATGTCAAATAAACACAAACACTTGTTGCGAATATTTATTTTATTTTTGGCAGAAGAGGCCACACGTGCATAGTTGCTTTTTTGTTATTCACCTCAAGCTGTCCTACCTTGTATTATTGTACCATGCATCCTTCTGCATATATAAAAACTAGATAAGTCCCAATTTAGATTAGGCGAGTTTACTTGCAGCAAGTCTTTGTTTGTAGGAGAGAGGGGTAAGGGGAATAAAAATGAAAAAAAAAAAAAATTGCTCGTACAGACAATTTTCTGGCAATTCGTTTTGTGTATTTCGTATTTGTTGATATTTTATATATATTTAAATGTGAAAAAACAACAAATAAAAATTATTTTGGAAGCCGAATTGCCTTGTATAGACGCATGAAGCAAGTTCAAAAGAGAACGATAAAAATTGCCGCAAGTAAACTCGCCTAATATAAATCAGGACTAACTTTTTACTTTTCATTCATCATTCTTTATTTAAATGAAAAAATTGAAAATTTTACAAATATTTTCATGCTGTCAAAATATTTTTTTTTTTTTGATAAATTCTCTCAATTGTTTGGGATGGGACAAAATTCTTCTTTATTCAGAGTAATTCGATTTGAACAATGTACAAAAGTCGGTGTTCGCTTAGAAAATGTTGTATGGGGAAGTAAGTAATTACTTCATAATTAAGGGTCGAACAACGAATGAGACATGGCATTGAGCGTAATGACAGGAGTCATTACTGCTCATTGCAATATCAGGGCCTTTACAAGTAAATGGAACCATGATATTACTGATTACTGCAGACTCTGTGTCGACGAGGAGGAGACGGAGATAATTGAGTATCTCCTGTGTCACTGTCCAGTTCTGACCTACAGACTGCACAGACTAGTGGGTGCTCACTTTCCATCGTCTCTAAGATTCTTATCAACTATGGAACCTGCTTTAATCTACAGCATCATTAGAAACCTAAAGTGGTTGGAAAGTGCACCCTTAGCACGTAATATGTTTTCTTTCCAATTTCTATAGCCATCAAAACTATTCCCACCTTCCTTCTAATACTTCTTGTTAGCTTCTTATCCTTTTTTTATATAGTGGCTTGTTATGCCTATATATATATATATATATATTTGTATTTTTTTGATAAATGGATTATAACACCTTCACGTTTCAATTATCAATTCCATTGTATACATGTCTAATAAATCCTCATACAGTAGGTTAGCCCGGAAAAAAGGTTCAAATGTAAATGCCATTTTAGAAGAAATTACTTTTTGTATTTAAAAATTCAAAGGAGACAACTTCTCTAATTACCCCATTCATTTTCCCACCTACAGCAACCTATTTCCCACATTCCTTAGAACCTACAGAAACCTATAACCCCTTTTACAACGATAACAAACTATCGATTAGACACAAATTCGATTTGTACATCCCTATTCATTGCTGAGTGCCTCAGTGTGAGAGAGAGTGTCGAAAGTCGAAGTAGTTGGGGAAAATTTGTGTAAAAATAAGTTTTAATCGGTGCGATTAAAAAAAAAAATAGAATTTGAACAAAAAGGCGACTAAAATTTTGGCACAAGTCGCCCAGCGGTTTTCGATATTTTTGAAAGAATACAATAAATAATATCATTAAGGAAATTTCATAACAAAAACATCAAATAAAATGGCGAGTTTAATGCGAGTGCCATCGATTTTGGCTAAAAATGCCGCTGCTATGGTACGTTCAAAAGCAAAAAGAAATATATATTAAAAAAAAGAATATTGTTCGGCCTGCCTGCGTGCGGTGTGTGTGAGGTGTGGGATGATAAAAACGAAAGATTGTTTTGATTTTTTTGGGAGAGAGCAGCAGCAGACCAAAACGAAATGTGCAAAGAAATTCATCAAAGCAAAAGCAGCTTACACAATCAGTTTTTCCAAATGTGCAACTCATAGACCAAACAGCAGAAATGAGGCAGGATATGAATTTCACAACAATCAGGATAGTAGTGATGAGGTGATGGGAAAACCACCCACCCCCCATCAATTTCTTCAGTGACAGCCTGGCCCTCTCTTGTAGAAGCGCTAAGACGTTTTTCGAAACTCCCCAACAGAAATTGTGCGGTTATGTAATGGTAACACTTTAAATGTTAGGCATTAAAAAAATCGCTTCTTCGTTCATATCGGATAAATAGTAATTTAATTCTATTCGAAAACAGAGGAAATAGTTTTCTGGAAAAATAAAACCATGTGATTGTTATTGTGTTAGGTAATACATGTGTAAATTATTTTTTACATAGCCACGTTAAATTAAAACAGAACACTCAACTTATCATATATAGGTAATTTTCCTTAGTGAATACAAATGAAATATGCTCAAATAATGCGGCAGTTCGCGATTGGCATTGTCTGTCGGTTGTTTAAGGTTATGTTGTCGCCCCAAAAAGTTCATTGTCTTCTTGGCCGACGATGCACATCTTCGTTAATCCTAAATTTTCTTGTTGAGCAGAGTATCATCGGATTTATATATTTAATTACCTTCTTCTAAATTACAAAAATAATGGAAACACTATTCCATTGAGGGGGGCATTTAAATTTCTTATTAGGTAATCTATAGATTTGTGTGTATGTTTATTGTTTCTTAGTGTTCCATTCGTTGATCACCCCCCTTACTGCTATTTGAGTTTTCTACCTGCGTCTTATGATTTTTTTTTTCAAGCTATATATTGAATTCCTTTAGTTGATAATAATATTCTTATCTTCTTTAAAAAGAATATGCCGCAATTCTACCTGTCTACCTACTTGATGGGTCAAGTGTATTTCATGTTTTCACTTTTCCCACATTGATAATGAATGCATTTCGATGGTCTGTTGTCGGCTTTAATACATTTAGTTACAGTCTCCCCAGTCTAGAATAATAATTTATGATGCTTGGTTTTGTCTTGCGCAGCATTGGTCCATTAATTGTTCATTTGTATAGAATTAAATACCGTCTGCATTTAGTTTAGGTGTCTTGATTTTATAGCAACAGGTTGGGGTATTATATTAAGGGTTTGAGTATGTAAAAAGGGATTTTAGAAAACAAAACTAGTTTTCTGTTAATGATCCCTACAATAAAATGAAAACCATCGTAAATTATTGATTTTCTGAAAAGGGGCTTATATTACAGGGATATTTTCTATTGTTATTAGTTTTGTCCATGCCTATCGCCAGAATGTTTTTGTTTATTCTTTTAAGACTTTAGTATTATTGAATGAAACAAATAAATAAACACAATTTTGAGATCCACATCCAACCACATTCATTTCATAATAGTTCAATATAATAAAGATAATATATAACATTTTTTAAAAAAATACCAAAACTAATTTTTACCAAAATTAAAAATAACTGGTTTATCATAGTTTATATCTATAAACCAGTATTGGGCAGCTTTTGCATTTAAACTGAAATAACCAGATAATTATATTACTAATGAAAAAATAAAATTAATTAATTTTTAAAAATTTTGTCAAATTTTTCAGCTTAGAATTTATTCAAACTTATTTTATTTAATTAAAAATTATTGTAACAGATTGGCTGTTGATGAAAGTTCTGTCCTGAAAATGTTGATAGAAAAAAATAGAAGAAGGAAAAGGAAAATATATTACTTAATTATTAGGAAATCGGATTTGAAGAGGTTAGACGGAGAAATTGTGCCATCTCTCTTGGCTTTAGCCATAAGTCTATAGGCGATAGTCTTGTAGGTTCGGACGGACAATTGAATATATGGTGTGTGTCGTGAGGGCTTTGCTGGCAGGAGGGGCACCTGTTAAACCATTTGTGGGAGAGGTACCAGAAGGAGTCGACCGACGGGTCCCAACTTCAGACATGATCCCGGCTTGGTAAATATAATAGGTTGTGCAAAGTTTTGTTCAAATCGCCTGCTATTGGCTTTATTAATATTGAAAATGTTGACCATTTGTGAGGGAAGTACCGGAAGGAGTGGACCAATGGGTCCCATCTACGGAATTAATCTAAAGATAATTGGCTGTGTAATGTTTGGTTCATAGTAATAATGTTTAGCACAATTTTGTGGGGTAGGTACCAGAACTAACTTGAACTAAGTTTGGTATAAATAATACGATGTGCAAAGTTTTGGTAAAATCGGATACTCCTTTCGAGAGTTATCGTAGACACCAGCCGGCCAAAAAGACGGACGGGCATTTGTAAATCAACTCCAAATTGTCTGAAACGGATTTGGGCCAAAGAAACGTGGGATCTAAAACTAATATTTCGATGAGGCACATTCAAAACATTTAGATATTGTGTACTATAGAGATTTAGTGTGAACATATAATTTTTTACAAAAATAACGATTTTCGAGAAAAAAAAACATCGACTTTGACCTGGCCACATATTTAAAACATCTTGTGATTATTTACTGCATATTGTTTCAAAATATTTTTAAAAGCCATCTTAAATTTGATAAATTAAACACCGATAAATTGAATTACAAATAAAAAAATCTGTAAAATCTATCAAAATTAGCAACAATTTTTACAGTACACCTAACATGGGAAAATCACCCTTAATATAGAAAATAAAGGTCCGAATGTACCAGAAATTGCTAGAATTAGTAAATACCAATAAATTATTCATAAAATAAATAAATATTTGAAATGAAAACTCGAAAGATGGGAATTAACCTAATAGAAGAATCGATTTCGAAAGGCTTTATTAATAAAAGGCCGGAATATTTTTGCAGTAATGGACTTTATTCTATTGAAAAGTTTGGTATTGAAAATACAAAATATTCGGTATTTTGGGGATGTCCTCCTACCACATTTTATTAATCTTTTGTTCCACTTTTTAGTTACAACCCAAATTTGATTTTTTTTGGAAGTTAAGGTAGATTTTTTATCCAAATTGGATATAATTTTGTATTTAGGGAATAAAATCTCGGTTCCGAAACAAGTTGTGGATTTTGTCCATAAAAATGGTATATCCTCAACCAATGTTACTTAGGCTTACAGAAACTCTTCTAATTTAAAGAAGGGCTTTTGAAGAACATTTCCAAGAGGACAGACTTCAGCAAAAAACTGTTTTGTTGTAATCATAATGCTTCATTTGGTTAAAAAAACACGAAAAAAGTCCAGATGACCTACAGTAAAATGCAGGGAACCAGTTTAATCGTTATCAAAATGTATAAACATTGGTCTCTGATATTGTAACCAGTAATCCACCTAAGCATAAATTATTATTAGAAGCGGATTTCTTTGCAGTATAAGAGAATAGGCAGTTTTCAACTTAAAATAAATATTTTAATATTTGATAGGAATAATTTTTATCGCACTAATTTTTTATGTTTGAGTCCTATGATATGTGTTTACTGACGGTATACCATAATTTAAAACCTGCATTTATATTAAAAAAGTATTACTTTGAAGTTATTAAAAACCACTATGTTTTATATGAAAATACGTGGATAATTGTTGATTTAAAAATGAATTGGTGCGTTACGAATTATCTGTTATTCAATTATAAATATTATTTTGTTACCAAATAGATTTGTCCAACATTAACTTTTGAAATATAGTAATTTGTCAAAAAATTTATTAAACGTAAGCATAGCTTCTGCTTATTACTGGTGAACGAGTGCGATTAAAATAAATGAAAAATAAAAAAACTTCATCATTTTATATTTGTCGTGCCCCAGTCCTCAGAACATTTGTATTTTAATTACATATACAACAACTATAAATTGTAGTTAACACGACATTTCACTTTCATGAACCATATAATTTGCAATTTACTAAATTACAGTAGCAAAACATACACATACATATGTTTGTATGTACATTTATATGTCATAAATCCATAGATTTATTGATGAACAAAGCGGGTTTGTCTTAGCTGTCAATCGATTTGTTTTGTGATTTACTATGATTGGCTGCATTCTGTATTTTTTTTTTTTTTTGCACATAAAATTGATAATGAAAGTGAATTTTGTTGTAGTTGCAGAATTTAAATATAAGATTTTTTATCGGCATTTTTTAAAGAAACACATACTCACTTTTATTTTAACGTTATTAAAAAAGACAACTCAACACATACACATCATTTATTTCCCCATGACATTTTCCGTAAAATAAATTACACGAATCTCCATTACAAATAAATTACCTGTTGATCGGCCAGCTGATCCCCACACTCCCTTCATTCGAACAAATCAGTAGCCAATGATTTGCAAAACAATGCTACTTGAGTTAGAACTTCTATGTTTGAAAAAAAAAAAAAAATAAAACAGGAAAAAATTGACAAAAGCGCGACAAACCTCTTACGTAAAAAACAACAACAGTTAAGTGTCAATTATTTTTTTATAATGACAAAAACAACGAAACGAAAAATTTGCGATAACAAACTTTTTGCTGTTGATATAATCGACCATAACATACCTTTAAGATAGATTAGAGACGATAATTACTATGACACATGTACATATTAACAAACATGTGTTTATACAAGACACCCTAATACACACACTCACACACATACATACACAAAACATTGGCTTTGTTTCTCGAATCTTTGCATCATTAACATGATGATAATCAATTTGTTGTTTACGCGTTTTACAGCTTCGTGCATCTTCCGTTGTTCCACAACGCGAATTGCACATCGGCAATGGCCGCCGTGAAGCTTCCACCAAAGCTGATGCCATCTCCAAGGAATATCCAATTGTCGATCATGCCTACGATGCCATTGTTGTAGGTGCCGGCGGTGCTGGTTTGCGTGCCGCTTTCGGTTTGGTAGCCGAGGGCTTCAAAACCGCTGTCATCACAAAATTGTTCCCCACCCGTTCACACACAATTGCCGCCCAAGGTGGTATCAATGCTGCTCTGGGTAACATGGAAGAAGATGACTGGAAATGGCACATGTATGATACAGTAAAGGGTTCCGATTGGTTGGGCGATCAAGATGCCATCCACTATATGACCCGTGAAGCACCCAAGGCTGTCATTGAATTGGAAAATTATGGTATGCCCTTCTCCCGTACACCCGATGGTAAAATCTACCAACGTGCCTTTGGTGGTCAAAGTTTGAAATTTGGCAAGGGTGGTCAAGCCCACAGATGTTGTGCCGTAGCTGATAGGTAAGAAGACAACAAGAAGATCGATGGCGTATTTTTTTATAATACTTTTCTTGATTTCCAGAACTGGTCACTCCTTGTTGCACACCCTTTATGGTCAATCATTGAGCTACGATTGTAACTATTTCGTCGAATACTTTGCCTTGGACTTGTTGATGGAGAACGGCGAATGCCGTGGTGTTATTGCCTTGAACTTGGAAGACGGTACCCTGCATCGTTTCCGTGCCCGAAACACTGTCATGGCCACCGGTGGTTATGGCCGCGCTTACTTCTCCTGCACCTCTGCTCACACATGCACTGGTGACGGTACCGCCATGGTTGCCCGCCAAGGCTTGCCCTCACAAGATTTGGAATTCGTACAGTTCCATCCCACTGGTATTTATGGTGCTGGTTGCCTTATTACCGAAGGTTGCCGCGGTGAAGGCGGTTACTTGGTCAATGCCAAGGGTGAACGTTTCATGGAACGTTATGCTCCAGTGGCTAAGGATTTGGCTTCTCGTGACGTTGTTTCCCGCTCCATGACCATTGAAATTATGGAAGGCCGTGGTGTTGGTCCCGAAAAGGATCATGTCTACTTGCAATTGCACCATTTGCCCCCAGAGCAATTGGCTCAACGTTTGCCCGGTATCTCCGAAACCGCCATGATCTTTGCTGGTGTTGATGTGACACGCGAACCCATTCCTGTATTGCCCACCGTACATTACAACATGGGTGGTATTCCCACAAACTACAAGGGTCAAGTGTTGACCATCGATGAGAATGGCAACGACAAGGTTGTTCCTGGTTTGTATGCTGCTGGTGAATCTGCCTGTTCCTCGGTGCATGGTGCCAATCGTTTGGGTGCTAACTCATTGTTGGATTTGGTTGTCTTTGGTCGTGCCTGTGCCAAGACCATTGCTGAAGAAAACAAACCCGGTGCCACACCACCATCTCTCAAGGATGTAAGAGTTATTGTTGGAGTTTGAAAAAATATATTTTTCTTACAATTCTCTTTCTCTTGTTTTAGAATGCCGGTGAAATGTCTGTTGCCAATTTGGACATATTGCGTCATGCCAACGGCAGCATTACCACAGCTGATTTACGTTTGAAAATGCAAAAGACTATGCAACATCATGCTGCTGTCTTCCGTGATGGCCCAGTACTTAAGGAGGGTGTTGAAAAGATGTCCGACATCTATCAGCAATTCAAGGACATTAAGGTTGTCGACAAGTAAGTTGAAATCATAAGAAATTTGTCAAACAAACAGTGGTTTACCAATCGTTTATATTTTTTTAGGTCAATGGTTTGGAACTCCGATTTGGTTGAAACTTTGGAATTGCAAAATCTTTTGGCCAATGCCAAGATGACCATTGTCGCTGCTGAAAACCGCAAGGAATCCCGTGGTGCCCACGCCCGTGAAGATTACAAGACCCGTATCGATGAATACGACTACAGCAAGCCTGTAGATGGCCAACAAAAGAAGCCCTTGGAAGAACATTGGCGCAAACATACACTCCTATGGGTAACCGATGACAAGGGTACCGTCGAAATCAAATACAGACCTGTTATCGATCATACTTTGGATGATACCGTAACAACTGTACCTCCTGCAATTCGCTCGTATTAAAATGTTGTTACACCTCCCAAAATATATTTCTTTTTTGTTTTGGAATTTTTGTCCTCCTATGTCCCTCCTCTTCTTCTTTTTTTATAAGTTTAATATAAAAATACGAGATACTAAGAAAACAAACAAAAACACACAAATTACTATTGTCTACAACTGAACAGCTTCTTTCTTTAAATCTTTATTTTTGAATAGAAGAAAAAAAAACGACAACAAATAAATCTACACTTTGTTTTATAACCACCACTCTGGGTTTTCTCCTTCCTGCTAGATTTTTTTGTTATCCGTTTTTTGTTTAATTTTTTTGTTTTTATTTATTATTGAATAAAAAAACTATGTATTTTCGTTCTACCTCCTTTGAAAGAAATCCTTTTTAATATTTTGACGCGAAAAAAAGTTGTAGTTGTAAATTTTTAAATAAAACAAAAAATACAATAAATGAATGATATTTAAAATATTTAATGTGGGTTTAATTTTTATTATTATTATACATAAATATATTTACAGCTAGTCATATATAAATATATGGTATACCATTGATCTGTTCCAGAGCTTACAAGAACTTTTTTTATTAAAAAATTTGTTTTCGATTGATTCCTTTAAAAAAAATGTTACCACTTTTTCAGTACGGGAACGGGACTAAATTCTAACTGAATAGAAAAATTACTTCCAAATAATTTGGAGGAACCTCCAGCTCCATAAAATCAATGTCCAAAAATTATATGAAGTGAAAATGTAATTAACTACGAAAAGACGATATGTAGCTGAAGAGAATAATTACTGGATGGCATAAAGACTAGAACTCCCTTTGGATGATATATATCTCGGTACTGTTCTGGACAAAAAATTATGATCCAAGAAAAATAATGAGGTCATTTGGGGCTACTTTTTGTTTATTGCCTGAGAATAGTAATTTGCCCGACAGATAAGGACCCAAGTTTATTAACGAGAAGGAATTCACCTGGATCAGGAAGCACCTTAAGGTCGTGAGGAGTACGAGAGAGATACTACTCACACAAGGCCTCTATGGATATTCTGATGAGCGAATGCCCTTTACAGATTTGTTCTGCGGGCCAGTATTCCCTCGTCCAGAAGATGATGGTTCCTTGCCAGATTTGCCCTTCTTCCTATTCTTACCAACGGTGGTGCTACACAAAGCCTTAGCACCAACCGCTTCACCTTTGTCAATTGGCGTAGAATCGGGCTTTGAGACAGAGCCCTCCACACGTCGATCACCCTTATGGATGACAGTTTGTGTCGGGGTGTGCTCAACAGCCTTTTCCATTGCCTTTTGACTCGGGTTAGGCTTCGGTGCAGAAGCCTGCTTCACACATTTGTCTGAGACAGTGGGCTTAGCCGACTCTACTACTTTGCTCGATTCCGAGGTCTGTTTCGGGAGGGAGTTCCTGTCCATCTGGAGCTCACGATGAAGAGCGTGCGGGTAAGTTCTTTCCAACTTCCTTACGAATTTCATCTTGCCCTTGATGAGATGAACCTGCCTCTCCGAAAGCAGATTCGCATTTCGCCCTACTAATTTGCGGAGATACAATACGGCACGTTTATAGTGCCTCGTATCGGTTGCTTCTCGGGCAGTTCCGCCTTTTGAATCGTTTTCCCTTGCTGGTGTCTCGATAAATTCCCCATCGTCGGACATCGCTTCCCCTCCCAGAACTACAGCAGTATCAGTCTTGAATTGCCGATTCGTCATATTTTTTTTTTGGGTAAACTTGATGCGCTTGTAACAGGTACAGCTGCAGGTGCCAAGGCATCCACACCTAGAGCAGCCGGATCACAATCGCTTGATCTCTACAACACATGGCTTGTGGTCTCACCAACGATTGCCACCGGTACTGGGTTATTAACTCCCTGCACCGTAACTTTATTTATCCTGTTTTTCACCATCTTAGTTAATTAATATTTTTTTTCGAAATTTTTACATTTACAATCCTCTCAATCAAATAAATTAACAAATATTTTAAACAACAACAATAAACCTACATATATATTTGTATAAAATATTGTCGATATAAGTAGATCCAAACAAAGTTCTTTTCGGCCTGTTAGAATATAAATAAATTCTCTTTTGGAAATTCCAATTCCTGTAGAATTTCCTCCACTTTTGTATTATATCCAGAGGGTCCACATGCGGATATAAATGTTATTTTATCGGGTTTTGATTTATCCAGCAAAGGTGCCAGCAGTTCGCTGGATACATGACCCTTAGCTCCAGTCCAACTAGCATCAGGATTTGAAAGGATATTTGTAAATTCAAATCTAAAAGTAATTACATAAATAATTAACGTTTACAATGAAATATTAAAATAAAAAACAAATTTACCTTTCATCATTTTTGGCAATATTAGAAAGCATATCGTGGCACCATATATCCTCAGAGGTTCTATTAAAATACAACAAATTCAAAAGTTCTCTAAAATAGAAAAACAGAAGTTATTTTAAATTCTCATTCAAACATTAATCCAATTCATTTTATAACATACATTCTATTGGTATTTCTTTTCAATAGATGATCAATTAACGGCAGGAATGGCGTCAGACCACTACCAGCAGCTAGGAAACAAATATTACGATGTCCTGCCAGTTTGGATAATTTAAAGTTACCTTTGGGTATTGACACCCTTATCGTCATGTCATTTGTAAGTGAACTTAAATGTCCGGAAAAACTATTTGGATGTGTATATTTTTTAATAAGAAAATTTAAATTACACATTTCCATGTCACCGCAGTTGTTGAGGTCTTTGTCGTCTTTTAGATATCGACTGGGAATTGGTGTATAACATTTACTTAAATTTCTAGAATTTATCAGACATTCCAAGGAGACATGATAACCAAGTGGTAGAGTATAAATCACATTAGGACTATTTAGCACAAGGACAAAGGAATTATGATTATACTGTCGCTGTAAACTTGTTTTAAAATCCATTAACAACTCATCTTCCACGGAATTTTTAAGCACTTTTTGCACTTGTTGTTTCCCCAACTGAGGCCATAAATCCTTTCGCTCCTCAGGTTTCTCAAAACTACATTCCAATTTACCACTTTCGGTATTCATTTTCACATCTTTAGGTGGCCATTTGATTTCAGCATGTAGCTCAAATTCATATTTGTGTATATAGTTGTCTATCAGTATCGAAATTTCTATATGATTATTTGGGCGTTCAGGAACTTTACGTATTAAGGAACCAGGGTTGCAAAACTGTTTTGTATAAAAGTAAAGTGTTAAACTATTGCGATTTTGTATCCAATCTAATCGTGGAACAACATCTTGTGTAGCAGGTGGCAACGGAGGTCTTGTAAATTTAGGTGATAAGTCATTCGTGGATACCTCCAATACTTTCTCTACTTTTTTGGAGTGTTTCAGAGGACCAATCAGACACTTGTTAAGTAACTGTTGATAATTCACCCATGCATGAACTTCATTGAATAGTTTTGTGGCGTCTTTACCCACACCACGCATTAGTTCATCAACACCTTAAAACAGCCCGACTTTAAATATTGAAATCTTATAAATCATTTAAAACTTACCTCCCGGATGAAAATCCATATAACGTGTTACATTATATACCACTCCTCGTATCGCCATCCAGGCATCATTTCTGGTATTATGTTTGGCCAGCTCTTCTGGTGTAACAGGTATTATACGTCCTTTCGTTCCCGCTAGATCAACACCAGAATTTCCCAAACGTATCCAATCCATCAAGGAATGTCCCGGTTTTAAGGCACATTTATTTCGAGGATTGCCTGTCGCGGAACCGCTTCCGGTATTTGGTGGTGTCTGTGGAATCATCAAGGATGTGGGCGATGATGGTGCTAATAAATTATTTGTCGTTTTATTGGACATATTGGTGGTGTTGTAGTTGTACGATTCTTAGAAATCTGAAAGGTGAAAATATTTTCTAGAGATGAATGAAAACAATAGATCTGATTAGATATTCCATACATTCAAGAGTCTAATAAGAATTTGTTTCCGTTTACACTAAAATAATGGACACCATTCACATAGATCTAAGTTTGGAATATTTTTACAAATGATATGGGCTACCTTTGTTTTCAGGATATTAAGCACAGAAGGAACTAAAAGACGATTTTCTTAAACAAAGCTGTCAATTTGTCCTTTCTGTTTTATTTTTTTAAGTTGGAGGTAGATAAAAACAAATGTGCCTCAAAACATCTGTTATTATTTAGAAAAAGGACCGCAAAGGAAATACGCAAAAAACAGCTGTTTTAGGTTTCAGAAAATCTGTAAATGTCCACAATCGTGTTTTATGCTTAATATACTGTTTAAATAAGACATAATCTGCAGATATTAACTTTTACCAGTTATTCACTAAATAAAATATATACTTTCTGATTGGACGTTGTGTTGATTTTAAGGTTGTACTTTTACTAATTTACTATTGCTGTATTTGTATAACCTTCATTATAAGGTAGAGTATATAAAATATATTAAATTTGTCATTCCGTTTGTAACATCTAGAAAAAAGAGTCGTTGACACTATGAAAATACCTTACTTTGAAATGTACGTATTATTTATCATTTATATTTAATAATTAATTTATTTATGAATCATTTATATTTATTAATATTTTAAAGCTCCCTGCCTCTAAAACCTATAAATATAAATTGTAGGTTAGGTTAGGTTTGGGGATTGGGCAGTCACATATGTGGCTGCAGCACTCTAAAGCCCAAAATCAAAGTCCTGATTTTCTACTACAAATGTTTCCATTCTGTCGGTCAAGCAGAACAAACCAATTAATTGTTCCAAGAGCTATCGGAATAAATCATTTCAGGTAGAATAAGAAGCTTTCAAGAAAAGCAATTTTCATTATCAAGCAGCACATATAAATTAAAAATAATAGGCCACTAGTTCCACTTAATTATCTGTACTCTATAAATATGATTTATAATGATGGCTATACCTTCGAGAAAATCGGGTATGCTTAGATTTTATGATATATTATAATATTATTTACTAATGTTTTTGTTCCACTTTCCCAACCACTTTAGGTTTCTAATGATGCTGTAGATTATTGATATGTGATATTAATACAGGTTTAGCCACTTGCCAAATATTGAAATATATTATTATTTTTAGAAACTAATACTTCTAAGATGGAAAGTGAGCACCCACTAGTCTGTGCCGTTTTAATGTCAGGACTTAATGGCAGCAAATTGCATTTTTGGATGCTCCTTCCTCCTTCTCAACACAGAGTCTAAAGTAATCAGTAGCATGGTTCACTTACTGGTAAAGGCCCTGATATTGCAATGACCAGTAATGATACGTGTCAAGGTTCCACTTTCCCAACCACTTTAGGTTTCTAATGATGCTGTAGATTAGATCAGGTTTCGTTGTTGAGAAGAAACTAATACTCGATGGAAAGTGAGCACCCACTAGTCTGTGCCGTCTTTAGGTCAGGACTGGGCAGCGACACATGAGATGCTCCTTCCTCCTTCTCAACACAGAGTCTAAAGTAATCAGTAGCATGGTTCACTTACTGGTAAAGGCCCTGATATTGCAATGACCAGTAATGATTTCTGTCAGTTGGAAAAAATAGATCTTGACACAATGCACCTAGGTTCGTTATGTCAAAGTTCAAAGGCTCTTTCGTGAAAGAACGCCTCAAAGTTCCGATAAAAATTACATATGGGTGGTTTGATTGAGCCATCAATCACTAGATCTGTAGATTGAGATGGCTTAGTTTTACAATTTGGTCCATTGTCATACCTGGTTCGTCCAATATACAACCATGCCCAAAGGTACAACTTCGCCAAAGATTTTGTTCAATACGCGCGGCCTGACACTTAATGCTGAGGCCCAGAGACCTTAAATTCAGCATTGCTTTCAGAGCTGCTTGTGGCGTGCACCTCATGGCTCCTGTTATTAGAATCGATGCGGCTCTTTGTATATTATCTAGTTTTCTGGATGTCGACTTGTGGCGCAGGCAGTTTCACCAAACAAGAGACCCTGTTTCCACGACAGAGGGGTCTACGATCCGAGTATTTCTCGTCCAACGTCTGTCACCTCAGCGTCAGTAAGGCTCTTTGCATAAGCTCCAAGATTGTTGACGGAAATATTCCGGAAATCAATATCACTGCTGATTTATATGAATGTTACCGAAATACGTCGACGTACGAATACTCAAAGTTGAACAAATTCAACTTTGTTGAAAATAGTATCAAAAAAAAAGAAAATAAAATTTTTTCAATAGGAATGTGAAATATTTGAACACATTCTATAATTTTTTAACTTTGCTTCTCGTTTTCAATTAGTTCGCTAAGAGATATGCATTGGACGTATTTGCTATAATGGGTAAGTTGAATATTTTTGTAAGCTTCGTTGGAATTTAGGTAACGTTGTGATATCAAAAAAATATTAAAAAATTATGGTCTGTTCCAGTACTTTTTTAATAGTAAAGCTAGTCAAAGGGAAACATTTCTAAACCGCTCTCAGAGTACAAAATAATTTAAAAAGTTCGGGAACGCAAATCTAGTAAATATGTCAAAATTGGATGGCTATACTTGAAAATCATGATAACAGCCAATAGTTTAAAAAGAGAACGGCATTTTATTTTGTGTTCTCTTAAATTTAGTTCAACGTTTTACCAGCTTTGGGGAAAGGTTTTTGAGTAAAAAGTTGCCAAACTTGTAAAATGACTAGATTCTTTTAGGTTCTGGAACTTTAGTTGATTTTTGCAGATCATTCCCCCTTCTACTAATATCCCAAATATTACCAAAACCTACTAATCTGGCATCACCAACATTTGGTCACGCCAAACCTGTCATACTGGCAGCACTGTCAGCTGGTGCAAAAACAAAAAATTATCTTTTGTTATTGTTTGCTGATTGCCTCTCTTCCAACGGACGTACGTCGTGTCGACGTTGTTTAATTGAACTTTCGCGTTCTCTTTTTTGTTTAAATAAAAAAGTCAGTATTGTTTTAGCTGCCGGTGCAAAGTGTAAGTTTATGTAAACGCTAAGAATAAAGCGCAAAAAATATTTGCAAATATTTTTCTTTTTTGAAAAATAAAATAATTACGTGATAAAATTGTATATTATGTAGTTAGTGTCGGCGGTGCTAAAGTGCCGATATTAATTTGTGTGTGTGATTTTTTTATTAACAATATAACTTGCTTACAAAGTGAAGTCATAATTGTGGTGTTTTCTTTGTTCTTTCCTGTTACTACATCATCCTCCCTCACCTAGTGGGAAAGTGTTAAAAAGTGTACCCATGAGGAGATTACGGGCGTTATAACAACAATTAAACAAAAAAAAAAATATGATATCCATTGATCCAACAGCAACAACACTGAGTAGTACAACTTCAAACAAAGAATGAAAGATGCAACAACTAGTTTTGCCACTGTCTTGTCGTTGTCGTCATGCATGCACGATGCAATAAATAATCCTAACAGTTATGGGCGATGCCCGTGCTGCTTTTGTTGATCCAATAGCTACTATGTGCTTCAAACATTGATGTTCCTTCCCTAATGTTGTATCAACAACCAACATTGTATGTTTGTATATATGTTTATTACGTAAGCAGAAGAATAATAATTGCTTGAATTTGTGGATTTTTAGAATCGCTAATTATTTGACGTTGATATCGAAACAATTCCATGGTAAATCATTTCGCCGAAACAACTAGAAGAAATGTGTGCTTTTTTTAAAAAAGAGGGGAAGACTAAATAGGGATTACAGGTTAGATATTAATAGGGAATTACAAATATTTAAACAATTTTATTGTAATCAATTTATAATAATATTGTTATAGATTAATATTGAGACTAAAAGGAGTTATTGAGATCAAGTAATATAAAGTAATTTTTGTGCAAAAATGCGAAATATCATAAAAAGATCGTGAAATTAAAAAGAGGGTCAACGCCATCTATATTTGCCCAACAGCTATTGACTATGTAAGGTGCATTTATAAGCTTAAAGTACTTTTAGATTTACGAAGTCTGTCAAAAATAATCCACTGGATATGTGAAGATGATTAAGGTGACGTATACGCTATGGAATTGACATTTAGTAGTCTAAACGTACTCTTAATTATAGGGAATAGAGAAGATATAGAACATGCATGTAGACTATTCAGGTAATCATCACTTTGGGACAAAAGTTTCCATAAAATTCGTATTTTTTATCCATACAAAATTTACATGAAATCGGAAGAAATTATACACTGGTCTTGTGGCCAAAAATTAAGATATCGTGTTGGTTTTTTTCAGTTTTAATCGGATACTTGCCCAACACTGGTCTAATGCCGTACAGCATTAATTATAGGGAATAGAAGAAGATATAGAACAGTTTTCATTTTGCAAAATTAAATTGAGAATAATAATGTGTGTACAAAAATAATAACATTGTGACCATTAAAAAAACAACTGAATTTACGTAAGGAGAGAAAAATCGATTTTTTGATAGTGATGTGTTTACCATATACTAGACCCTCAGTTACGGTAGCGTATATGGGTAAGCATGCCTGTTGTATTGGTACTCTCCCAAAGCGCCCACGGGCGCCTGTTTGGTGAACAGTGATGTAGACTATTCAGGTAATCATCACTTTGGGACAAAAGTTTCCGTAAAAATCGTATTTTTTATCCATACAAAATTTACATAAAATCGGAAGAAATTATACACTGGTCTTGTGGCCAAAAATTAAGATATCGTGTTGGTTTTTTTCAGTTTTATATCGGATACTTTAAGGGTCCCATACACTATACATCATGCTGTACAGCATTTATCATAGTATGTGTTATTTTTTGAAAGAAGAAGAAAATCAAAATAGTTTTCATTTTGAAAATGAAACCCTATCAATCTGGTGAATAATAATTTTGTAAAACTTCAAAGGCAAACTGCGACGGAGGCGATGTCCGACGATGGGGAATCTATCGATACCTCAGCAATGGACAATAGCTCAAAGGAAATGCCGGAGAAGTATCCGATGCGAAGCGCTACAAGCGTGCCGTTTCGTATTTTAGCAAATTCGTGGGGCGAGACGGGAATTTGCTTTCGGAGAGAGAGGTTCGTCTCATCAAGGGCAATATGAGATTCGTAAGGAAGTTCGAAAGAATTTTCCAGCACGCCAAAACGCTATGGCTCCCTTCGCTGAAGAAAACATAGTGTTTGTCTGGGTGTTTCAACTTGACAATAACCTCCAAACATACACCAAAACATGTATGGGATCTTTCTAGTGTCATGGATAGCAAAATCAAAAGAGTTTTACAAACAAACAGAAATAACCTCTTCCCACCGGTTCAGGATGCAAGGAATAGTATACATTGGTTGCGAGAGTCAAAATAAGATGTTTATAATGGCCAACACAATCATCAGATCTTTACCTTATAGAAAAATCAGGAATAGTATACCCAAGGATCAAACTGAGCATTTTATTTATTCAATGCCACGTAGGTGCGTAGTTTTGGCCACCAGTGTATATGGGGGCTACTCTGAAACTAGGGGCAATATTAATAATTTTTGGTACGGAGATACAATAAGAAACCAAAATACCAAATTACATCAAATTTATAGCTCGAATGAAAAGGTGTCCCAAACCCCCAAAATACCGAATATTTGGGGGTACCGTTGTATGGGAGCTACCCTGAAACTTGGGTCAATATTAATAATTTTTAGTACGTAGATGTGTTATATGTGGTGTCTCCTGTGAATACTTTGAGGTGTTACAAACGAATTGACAAATTTAACATACACTCCAGCTTATGGTGCAGGGCAAAACAATCTCAAATTTTATAGCCCACATTCTGTGGCTACAATTTTTTGGGATAAACTTTACCCAGAAAGACTGGTTTTTGATTGAGTATGTTAACGTTACTTTGGACTATGAGTTTGGGGGAAAAGTATACATACATACATATTAATATATGATGTCATTCCTTTGATAGAATTGTCGATTAGAATGGTGATAAACAAATTAGTGATATGCATACACATTATCCTATTATACATACACCTAAGTCTGTTTTTACACGGTCCTTTTTTACACTGTTTTGATATAACACGGTTTGAAAATTGAATATTTTTAATTTTTTTAGACAATTTCTTCCATTTAGCACGATTTGAAATTTTATGTACTTAATTTTTTTGTCAAATTTAATTTTTGCGAAGTATGTTCATATCACAAAAAAGTATTTATGAAAGAAAAAAGTCTGAACCAACGATAGTTTGCGAACACTAGCTTAAAGATTTAAGTGAATTCTCCTTTAGAGCGTAAAAACAATTTTTACTGGTCAAAGCAAATGTGAATAGCACTAATTTAAGGGAATTCCCTTTATGTATAATATCAATGTCTTTTTTTACACGGCTTCTTCTGGAACCAATCTACCGTGTAAAACAGACTTAGGTGTATATGACTATATCTATATACAAAACTGCGTATTTAAAATATTTATAAAAAATGTATAATATTATAGATAAAAATATATTACAATGAAATGTTTTTGATTCATATTTATAGGAAAGTACTTCTAATAACAAAAATACTTATTGAGTTATTTTCAACAGAAATATTAACCTCTTATTGCCTATAGTATACAATCTAGGAAATATGTTTACTATGCCCATCACATATACATATTTAACAAGCTGTTTTCTATAACCTTTAATTAACTCTCTAAGCGTCCTTTATATCCCTTTAATTAATTTTTGTAACCTAATATTATTAACATTTCCATTATAATTAATAATATATAGATTAGATTGGAAATGATATGAATAAACAATGTAAATGTATATTAGAAAAAATGGCAACACACATATGTATGTACGAACCAGCACATTTCTAGCGTTTTAGCTAACAGGTTTAGTTCTCTTCTAATTTTTTTTTTTTGGTTTTGCAAAACAGGAAGCCGTT